AAAGAGGTAGGGCTAAGCTCGGAATTAACTAACATCAAAATCAATGGGGCTACCAATTTTTATTTACCTTACTTTAACACCTTTCCCGCAACACAACTCATACTTACGTGTTACACTTGTCAGAGCACTTATTCCGAATGCACTGATGACGTGGCGGACACTCGTTAGTCCTAAATGGAAGGAGAAATAGTTACTAGAAATTGTATTTTGACTGTGTACTGTATGGCCTTCATTTACTATTTTATCAACTGTATTGTCTTTAGTACTATAAGAACCTGTTACTATTACTACCGATTTATTAAGATTATTGACATTTTCATTACAAATCAACACGTATGAAGGTGCTTGTAATACTCACGAGGAACAGATGCTCACTGCCGAGGTGATGGAAGATGGGTGGAAAAGGGGGGGGGAGAAGGTATATTGATTAATCAATAATAACAGATTTATATATATATATATATATATATATATATATATATATATATATATATGTGTGTATGTATGTATGTATGTATACATATACATATATATATATATATGTATATATGTGTGTGTGTGTGTGTGTGTGTGTGTGTGTGTGTGTGTGTGTGTGTGTGTGTGTGTGTGTGTGTATGCATATATATATATATATATATATATATATATATATATATATATATATATATATATAATGTATGTATGTGTGTGTATGCATATTCATATAGATGTGTCTATTTGTATATATATATATATATATATATATATATATATATATATATATGTACATGCAAACACATATATTGTATGTTTGTGTATGCGTTTGTTTGTTTGTGTGTATGTGCGGGCGTGTGTGCGTGCTTGCGTTTGCATGCGCGCATGCTTGCGTGCACGCGTGCGTTCGTGCATTTTGTACGTGTGGGTATACGTGTGCGTTCGTGCGTGTGCATGTGTTTTTGAGCATGCGCTACAAATAACTTCATTCTTCTATATAACATTCCCTCTATAGCCAATCAAAGCAATTCAAGAACATCACAAAGCACGGCAGGCAAAGAATTCAAACTTACACCGCGCTTCGACCACAGCCGAAATCGCCAAGATGGCCGCCAGAGACAGAGTTAAAGCCGGTTTCATCCTGTTTTTGGTTCGACCTGAAATTTAATTCGAGGTAAAGAAGATGAATATGGAGAAAGAAAAAAAATATATAGTCAAAGAGGAAATAAGACGACTTTTATTTCTTTTAAAATTGAAAAGAAAATGAGTTTCAGAAAAAAAATCCTGTGAACATAAAGAATATTAATTTGAAAGGTTAAGAGAAAGTTTCATAAAAAGAGCGAGAGAGCGAAAACAAAAAACAAAAACGAGATTTGGAACACACACAAACGCTGATAGTGTAGTTGTAGGTCAAGATTTATAATACAGGAAGAACAGGAGAAAACACGAAAAAAGGAGATTTTAGGTTAAATTAAATATTCTCTTATGCAAACGAATTTACTCCATTTCACAGTCAAACTATAGAACATGGAATTATTCTTTCTGTGCCGTATCAGAGCCTGACGTTGGCGACCATGTTTAATTCCACGGCTATGTAAGGGAGTGTACGAAGATGGTTTCCCGTTGCCTTCCTTCGGGTGATTGAAGAATTTACCATCTCTTACCAATGGATCCTCTGCTTGTATTTCTGCAACCACTGTTTTTGGCGTCATATATATATATATATATATATATATATATATATATATATATATATATATATATATATATATATATATACACACACACACATACATATATATATATATATACACACACACATATGTATTTATGTATGTATGTATGTATATATATATATATATATATATATATATATATATATATATATATATATATATATATATATATATATATATATATATATATATAAACACACATATATACATATATTTATGTGCCTATATATAACAATATGGCCAGCCTTTAATGTATACAACCAGAGACAGTTTAGCATACACTTTACAAAAATCTCATAACTGTTACAGAAAACGACCACAAATTCATAATTTACTGGGTGAACTAATTCATTCCATTCTTTCCCTTTTTATCCCTTTGTTTTGCATGTTATTCCTCACTCACCAACCCATGCTTTATGTCCTGTTTAACATTATACATTTTAATATACAATTTTAAATATATATACGCCATCATGCGCATTATTTTTTCCTGTAAGTTCTTCCAATACATATGTACTAAGTGTTTATTTTTGTCTCGTATCCCCATCGTATAACATGTTATTCAGGAAATAAGCTACCCTTCTACCCATATACCTGCTGAATATTGGATGACTGTTATGCTTCAGTGCAAAGTTCTCCCAATAGTCTTCAAAGTTTGACCAAGTCTACATAACATTTATGGGATCCAAACCCTACGTATTACGTACCTGTTACACACACCTCGTTACGGAATTAACACACTAATGGCCTGAGAATATCACAATGCAGTTGATAATAAAGCTAAGTCAATA